CTTTTTACCTGCTTTTTAGATTCACATATGAGTGATCTCATACAGTATTTGTCTTTCTCTTTCTGGCTTACTTCACTTAGAATGACATTCTCCAGGGCCATCCATGTTGCTGCAAATGGCATTATTATATTCTTTTTCATGGCTGAGCAGTATTCCATTGTATAAATAGACAACTTCTTTATCCAGTCATCTGTCAAGGGACATGTAGGTGTTTCCATGTCTAGGCTTCTGTAAGTAGTGCTGCTGTGAACACTGGGGTGCAGGTGTCTTTTTGAATTAAAGTTTTGGGGGGCTTTTAGGTGGATGTCATGGGACCAAACTTAAAGTGGGCAAAGCCCATCATCCTTCAGTTCATCGTAAGATTAGGGTACCAGAGCCCAGGCGGCCTTAGGCAAGTCACGTCACACAGCGGGCTGAGCGTTCTCATCGGCAGGTGGTCCGTGTGTGAGGGACTTGGCACTGCAGCTTGCACACGGGGGAGCGCCGAGCTTCGCGAGTCCGGAGGGCTGTCACTGTGCAGCCACAATTACTACCCTGCCCCTTGCTGTCACCATCAGCACTGTGACTGGCGCTGAGAAATGATCGTGTAGCAAAGTCCCCCTGCCCCCGGCAGTAACTGAAACCCAAGCTGGGCTTGCAGTCTTGAGGCTGCCCCTTTGCAGACCCTCCCTGGAGCTGGAGACTGGCAGATGCGGCCCAAGGCCACCCGCCCGCACGCAGGCGTGACGTAACCGGGCCAGATCGCAACACCGTGTAGCTGCAGGCCTAGAGAATCTTCACTCCTCTGGGTGCAAAGGGCTACACTCTGCTGCCCTCCTTCCCTACTCGGAGCCCCCTTCGCTTCCGACACACATGGCACCAACAGGCTGGGAGGCTTCGTGCACCCGCAGGGCCCGGGGAGGAGGCAGCCTTAGTGCCACCATCCGTCGGAGGGCTGGGCCGGCACCCCCGGGGCCCCCAGCGGGTGACTGCATGGTCACCGTCAGCTCCTTGAGGATCTGACCCAACTCCCCTTGGCCGAGCCAGTGGAAAATGCATTTACGTTTGGCAAATGCCAATGCAATTGGGTTTTTTACAATTCCAGGAGACTTTAATTGCAGAAAATCACTTCAGTTTAAATCCCTTATTGTCTTTTTTCTCTCTCTCTCTTGAAGCTGAGCAATGAGACCCAAAGAGGGTTTAATAAAAACGAATTCCCACCAGAGCCCAGCGCTCATCTCTCAACTGCCTTAAATCTTCTGTTCGCGAAACGCTGCCCAACTTCCTTACTGCAAGAGGTCAGCAGCCTGTTTCTAATTTATGCTTTCTACTCCCTCCAGGAGGTGG